TGCCTAGACCACGGCCTTGCCCAACACAAGTTATAAATTCGGGCACCGCCGGGAATCGAACCCGAGACCCCCAGGATTACAAGGACAGCGTTCTAACCGCTAGACCGCCGTGTAGCATTCATTTGTCTGGAAAGCACAGAATCACGAAAGATCAGTCTATCACAAGCGAAAGACTATTTCTTTTTAAACTCCATTGATAATCCAGTGTTACCGCGTACCAGCCAGCGTGATAAGCAGCAGTGTTACATTTTTCGTGAACTGATAAGAACCTTAGGTAAGCTGTTATCAAAAATCGATTCAATGCCAAAACTGTAAGTCGTCGTTAATCTGGGTATCAACGCCATGTGGACTTGTACTATCGCGTAGGAGAAAAATTCAGCTTATATCTTCATGGATGAAGATGGAGGCAGCATGTTCATCGGAATCACGTATACACATGCAACGTATCTACTTCACACCGTTTAATAACTAAACATTTTTGTCTTTTATTATAATGATGGTACCGGAAACATATAGGTTATGTCTGACAAGACTTTGTATTTAATTTAATACGAAATGATAATACATATCTGTTTACTGATGGATTATCATTGTGAGACCAACTCTTGATTGTTAACACCTAAATAATCTCGTTTTGGGTTGTAGTCGTATTTTTCGATTAAGTGGAAAATTTATTTGAAATCATATATCATAAATTTGGTTCATATATTAATATTTTCAAGTTTACGTTGATTTAAATGGGCTATTATTCCTTATTTCCACGTCTCTATAATGGAATTTAAGCTACTGCGAGAAATTTACAAGTCTTTATTTAAAGAGTGTGATTTTTTTTACTTTCTTTCAGGTAAAATTGTTTCCCGGAAGTGACAAATTTGAAACGGAATCAAAACCAGAGTCGTGGCCAATCTACAATCAAAATTTCAGCTTCGAAATTGCTAACTCTCCAGTCACTAGCACGAACAAAGAGCTCGACGAAATACTCCGAGCAAGCAATTTTCTAGTCTTTACAATTTACGCTTTAGACGCCAAGCAGAAGAGACGAGTGATTGGTGCTGCCACCTGGCCGGTTGATCACAAATTATTTACTCATAAACTGAATACGCTAGATTTCGGCGACAACGAAGAGCTAGAAACTCCAGACATCTGGCGGAGAACAGAAGACATGTCAAGTGGGATTGTTGGAGCAAAGCAAAATGTAAGTAATCAGTAATAAATGTATATTCCAAAAAGGTTCTGACAGTGTATAGGTTTCAATTACTATCATCGGACACCACGCAGGCTTGTTGGTGGTTACCGACGTTTCGGAGGAATACGCTGTACCCATATTTAAGGCCTAAGGTTACAAAATGCCACATATTAATGTACTGAAAGCATTATTACCATAAGAAAAGACATTAGACCATGGATTATTAACTACAAACCACATAGAACCCTCCTACGTGGTTTGTGTATTGAAGAAACTACATTTTGTTAAGAAAATTGTACATAGATCGTTATTTAAAAATTATACAAGTTTAAAAATTAAAAAGAACTATTTTTTTTTAAAAAAAATATATTCTAAATTAAAAATTATAACGTAATTTTTATGTTGGCGCAATGTTACGTAAGAATTAAAAGACACCTGTTTCGCCGCGTTAATTAAATATTTAAATTTTACCTGCAAGCCGATGGTCCTCTTGTGCAGAGAGAAGACAAGAGCAACCAGCTGGAAGTGACGCTGTGCTACTCCCCCAGAAATTCCGAGGAGGGCGAAACAGAAGAACTTACTCTTGGGGTCACCAAGCTGCGCTGGAGTGTCGAATCTGCCCTGGAGTACGAACGGAAAAACGGTTTGTATCGATATTCATTTGTTACGAAGTTTGAGGTAGGTTAGGTTAGCAGCCCTGCTTCGAATTCAGGAACTTCCGGTTGCAAATCTCGGCCCCGAAGACCGCCTATACTTACAGACCGGCTTTCCGTGGTTTTCGTAAACCCCTCCCTGTAACTGCTAAGATACTGCCTTCAATAAGACTACATCTGATAACTTCCGTATGATTTCTATTAAATATATCGTATTTTTTTTACGTTTTATAGGTTATAAAAGTAAAACAGATGTAAATATTCAGGATGCGTCATTAAATAGAGAATATAAAGACAGAATTCGCTTTAGAAAAAATCAATATTGCGATTTTAAAATTGTTCAGAATATTTATACGAGACATAAAATTGTTTAAGTCTGACGTGGACTTTTTTTATTTACACAAAACACGTAAATGTCAGAATCCTTTTCAATATGTCTCGGACATCTTTTTGCCATCGCCGTGGTAAGGCGCTGATGCAAAGAATTTGTGACATTTGTTTCTCAAGATTTCGCTAATGCGCAGGGTGTTGCTTCTAAAGCAGGATACAATGGACATTTAGAGGTTATCTGAAAAAATAAGACGGCCAATTTACAATGTACCCCGGAAAATACTTTAAACATTCATAATACCCTACATGAATGAACATATTTTAATATAATGGAGAGATACAAACGTACAAAATCAAGAAATAAAAATAAGGTACTTAAAGACCACGCCCATTATTCAGAAATCAGGCCTTCGTCTTATTCGGGGGCAAGATAAGTTAATTATGAAAATATGCAAGGTGTACTGATGACAAGAAATAAACTGAAAGTTTAAAATTTTATGTTCCCTCCAATCTTATTAGGTAAACTCGTAGTTACTAACACAAAATTGTTTATGGTGTCATATACCGTCCACTAACCTCAAAACACATTCTTATAACTGAATAAAATTGATTATATTTGTTATCGTATTAAAAATATTAAGTTGGACTCGATGATTTCTTTTTCGTATTGACATCTGGTTAGAAAATATACGTTCGTGACTTGCAACATTTGTACACTCGCGTCATCTAATGGCAATTTAAGTGAGCCTACAACTACGAATTTTTGTAGGATGTGATGTATGCTATACGGTGAAGAGTGAAATCGGTGATTCATAATTTATATTCGCTAATTTCGTGATCAGCGAACTTCCACACTAAGATATTTCGAGCTGTTATCTGTGTTAATTTTGTCCTCCGTAACAACCACAAGCGATGTTATTAATATACAACTCCACTGCACTTAAAACACCGGAATATTTGTAAGCCTAAAAAACATGTCGCTGTGTTGTACAAATTATCTGTATAGAATAAATTTTATATCGCGGATTTGCAGAAGTGTTACGGTAAGACGAAATCGACGTTTCGGGGACAATCTGGCAGAACCCTGATGATGGGTATAGATGGTACCTGAAACGTCGGTTTCCAAGAAGTCCACCGACCTTGGGTCAACGAAACCTTCACCTGTGATACACGACTTCAGGCTTTTAACAAGTGTACATTACATAAAGAGATTCTTACAAAATTTGTTATGGATTTATTTCCATAGGCGAGTATTTCGAACACATCCTTTTTGACACAGGTGGCTACTCCAAGTTCACACGTCTTATCGTTCTACATTCGGAATTAACCCTTTGAAGCCGAAGATCGTCTGAATATTATTTATGAATTCAGTCCGTACCGCGAAGAAAACACTTCACTTAACCATTAGAAGTCGAATCAGGTGGTACCACATAAGATTTAACAAAAGAACATCCCGATCAAAGCCTTAATAACGTGACGGGATGCTTGAAATCTTCAGACAGATTAACCACGAATGCGCGCGCATCACTACTGAGAACGTGAGAAATAGAACTGCACTTCCGGCACAAACATTTCTTTCACGTGGGATTTAATGATTATAAAATCATAACTAGGTACTTGGGGGTGTCTTTGCGCTGAGGATCTTATCGTCTGTAAAGCACTCTCCATTTATCGTATTCTTCAGAACATCTGTACTCAAATTCCTCTGAATATTTCAGCTCTCCTGTACGTAAAGTTGAACGTGCTTGATGGTGGCAGAACTATCAAGGCCTGCAAGACGAAACCCTTCGCTCCAAGCATATCAGTGCCTCTGTCGGCAGACAAGAACAACTCCTCACTTACAGTTCACCTACCGTCCAACAGAGAGCACCTTACGTGCCAACTTAGCCTCTGCACTAAACCAAGTTTAGGTGAGTGCATTGAATATTCAACAACAGTCACAGTGAGAGATAACTGTTTGGCCCCGTCGAAGCCAGTTCATTCCAATCAATGCTCGTAATATACTTCCTGAATTAAATTTATTTTCTGCGTTTGCTGAATGAATTGTCAACGTATTTACGTCGACAAGGTTGGTGTACCTGTTCTTTCGCACGAATGACGTCTATTGTAGACGGATTTTGAAAATTCACTACGGATCACCGTGTCTCTACCTTCCTGGTATACCGCACCCTTCCCCAAATTTGAAATTGTATAGTATATTTAATTAGCGGGATATTTACTCAAAACATACGGACCCCTAGGGATCCACGGGCCCCCAGAGGACTTATATTAGAATGTGTTTAGCGCATGCGTGATATTGAGTCGCGTAAATTTACATTTTTATTCAACAGAATATTACATTTCCTGAACATTCTCTCTGAACTTGTAAAGACTTTGTACGATTCTGATTAAATTAATCGAATACTCGTCGAACAGATCCGATTCTGAGCCGTGTGGGGGTCTAGACACGCTGATAGTTGTACAGTTATTTTAAAAGGTTATGTTTTTGACGTTACGTCTAATTTCTGGAGACAAATGAACCTCGTGTGTATTTTCCTGATTACGGTTAGGTTAGCAAATAATTCCACTGTTCACGCGTGAGTTACAATGTAATTTTCGCAGTTACAATCAGGGTGATAAAATTAATAAATATGTTATGTTCGGGGAATGAAGAATGCATACAAAATTTTGTTTGGAAAATCTGAAAAGAACATACAAATTTGGAGAAAAAAAACCGAATATGAGAAGATAATATTAAAATGAACGTAAAATAAATAGGATATAAGTGGATTTATTTGGGTCAAAATAGGGACCGTCGACGGGGTTTTGTGAACACTGTAATGAACTTATGGGTCCCATAAAGAGCGGGGGGGATTTATTGAACACGTGACTCTGATATTAGCTCCTGAAGAAGGAATCCGTGCTTTGTTTTGCAGGAAAGAAGATTGTCTTCGGAAGGGTGGTACTCGCACCGGGGTCTGAACACTGGGACAAGACGTTCCAGATGCCAGCAACAACAATAACACAGTGGCACAGCATTCGCTGAACACTGGGAAACTGATGGCCTGTTCATTCACTAACAAATATCGATGTTGGTAAAACTGGATTCAAATTCAAAAAAAAAATCTTGTTGAATTTCAGAAAATGCTGTCGGCTTAGGATTGGATTCGTCTGCTTTATATCTAATGGCACGAAACGTACTGTAAATAAAACAAATGACAACATCTTTCAAATCAGTCTTTTCTTGATATAAACCCAGTTTCTTACTATTACGTCTGAATTCTCACAAAACCGATTATTTTATTCAGAATTTCTGACATGCAAGTGCGAAGATTGTTTCTGATTGTAGTGGTCTCCGACTTAAGACACGTAAAGGGGACCAGTCAACCTTAACACATTCTCCTGATGATGGAGGAGGAGATTGTCTCCGAAACATTCGGCTTTTGTCCAAACCTACAAGGGTTGTTACCCAAAAATATTTTAGTCTCAATGAAAGCTACAAGTGAAGATATCCGTCTTCTGGGTTGTTGCGCTGTGTAGTCTGGTCTATGTTAACCAACGTTTCAGGTCATACTGCCTCCGTCATCGCCCTGATGACGGAGGCAGTATGACCTCTGAAACGTTGGTTAACATCGACCAGACTACACAGCGCAACAACCCAGAAGACAGAAATCTTCATACTCATCGCCCTGATGATGGAGGCAGTATGACCTCTGAAACGTTGGTTAACATAGACCAGACTACACAGCGCAACAACCCAGAAGACGGATATCTTCATACTCACCGCTGTGAGAACCTCAAGTCTTACAAAGCTACAAGTATTAACTCTTGATTAGTTGGTAAAGTATTATTTTTTAAATCACTGCTTGATGTTATAATCGTTGTCATGGCAACGTTATTGAATTTTGGGCCCTGTGGGACAATTTTTTTTTTTTGGTTGTGTGATTACTGCCTTAGATTTTACTAATCTCTGTGAGTAATTTGCTACTAATAAAATATAAACGAAATATGATTGAATTTTTTTAATATTATAATTACCACAACTGAGGAAAATCATGTGGAAAATGCTGTTCAGCTGGACAGGCGATTAAGGGAGAGCTCACTGCGCATGATTCTAATTCAGTTAATAAATATCAATGACATTGAATTGAGGTGAGTGGCCAGCTTTATTACGTGGCAGATCTATTTTTGGACAAACATCAAAACAGTTCTTCTCATAATTACAAATTTTTTCTCTCCTGTCCAGTTAAGGCATATTCTTTTCCGACGAACAATGGACGGCTATTCCTTCCTTTCCCCCGCCCCCCCTCAAGTCAGTCACTTCTCCGCTGTTCTCCTCATCTACCTACAAGCAGTCGTGTTCTGGTTGTCACGAGGCGAGGTTAGTGTGTGGCTTTGCTGTGCGTCGAAAGGTAGTTGGTTGGCTGTGCTCAGACCACGCAGTTCTGTTATGACGATTACGTCAATTGTAGCCACAGAGATTCGAAATTTGGCGGTAACAGTGAGTGATGTGAGTGAACGTGCCCCTGCTGGAGTCAGGAATTACTGTGCAGTGGAGTGATTTTGTTTAATCGCTTGAATTGTGTCGTGTCTTTGCAACGCCACAAAGAAAATGTGGTAAGGAAATGAATATTTGTAGGTTAAAGGGGAAGTGTGCTAGAGATTATGTTAAACCAAGGTGACAAACAGCGAGGTTAACTCGGCGACGAAGACCCACTAAGTTCACATGTTGAAGTTTCCAGTAGATTGTCGATTGTTTGACACCATCTTTTTTACAAGGAGAGGATAATTTATACTTTGTAACAATGTCATATAATTTCGTCCCAACAGATATTTGAGAAATGTTTTGCCGGTTTAATAGATTTTGCATAGAACATGAAATCTCTTGAACAATTGAACTTTAAGGTTATAGGTGGGGTAGGCAGGCGAATATAGAAGCCATTAACTTTACAGACAGTCGTACCGATAGATCGATTAGTGAGTGAGTAGGCTCCTAAATCGACTCGCTTTAGTGATCGTTCGAGGGTATAAAATAGAAACCTATCTCATGAAATTGAATCCTCCTAAAATATTAGTTGAATTTTCTTACATTTTTTTTGTAAATTTGTATTTGTAACTTTTATCCAGTGATACAGTATTTAATTTCTTGTCGAAATTATTGTCATGAATTCTTGAAACGTTTTCCAAAAACAATTTTCATCTATAAATATTTATAATTATCGCAGTGTTTTACAGTTTTCTGTTCAAGAACACAAAAATTGTGCATTATTTTCTCAATTTGTTAAATTAAATGTCAGATTCCGTGCTTCATAATCATTTTGTAATTTCTTTGTCATATATTCTAGGATTTTTATTAAAATGTATTATTACAAATTGATCGTCTGCAAAATTGAGGTAATACAGGCGTCTGCCCCCCCCCCCCCAAACC